ACTATGTTATGTCTTATATATTAAGAGCAATTTAGAAAATTCTCTCACATTATAAATAGTGTCAAAATTATAAATGAGAACTATAAAAAGGGGCGGAGGGAGTATGTAGATACATGCCATAGAATTGAAAGAAGTGACAATTAAATTAGGAAGAACTTAAATAGACAGTGTGATAGTAAGCTAACGTGGGACCTGGAATAATACTTATAGCTTGTAGAAATAGATTAACCTATGAATCTAATTATATAGTATGCTCTAAAGGACATTTTAGTTTTCTTGTTTATTTGTACCAAGCTAAGATTTAAGGGAAAAAAAATAGTGTAGAATGGGCTCACGGGACTTGAGAGCCTAAATGCTCATCCAAATGTTGTTGCTTCTTCATCCTCAACCTTTGGGCCGATTTGCGGTTCGAAAGCATTCATTTTCGTTGCTTCTTCATATATATATATATCCAATTGATTTTGTTTCATTTCAATCGATTTTACTGTAAAATCTGCATAATTGATAATTTCTTAATGTGACTATCATATATACATGGTTAATCTGTAATTAGTCATTCAATGAATTTGATTCTGTTGGCTTTTCATCACTTCAATTGAATCAAGTTTTACCAAAATTAGCGATTCTAGGGTTTGTTCTAACAAATTTCTGGTAAATTAAAATTGATATAGATATTGGAGTTGGCTGGAAACGCAGCAAGATCGAGACAACAAGAAATCTTGAATAGTACCGCACTACCGCGTCACATTCAACTAGCAATGAGGAACGATGAAGAGTTGAGCAAGCAAACAATTGCAGAGATGAATGAGAGGGGAAATGGAGGTAAGGAGAGATGAATGGAGAAGAAGTAATCAAATTAAAGGAGAGAGGAAGAGAGCTGTGAAAATGAACAAGCCCCTACAAATATTAATGTCGGATATTGGATTATTAATGTTAGATAATAAATTATTAATGTCAGATATTAGATTATTAATGTCAGATATTAGATTTCTCATGCTAGATATTAGATTATTAATGTCAGATATTAGATTATTTATGTCAGATATTAGATTATTAATGTCAAATATATATTGGACTCACGGTGAGTCCGATCTCACGCAAAACTTTAATTTCTCAAGATTAAATATCTTAAAACACTATCACTTAACCCCAAGTATGAATTAGTTGGAGGAAGTAAAACACTAATTTGAATAAACTATATACATTACCGAAAGGGTGATCGATATAGAGTTATTTTGATTAGTTTTCAAGTTGGTGTTGTACATATTTTTCACCTCATATTAATTGACAATTTACCTATTGACATGGTTTTTAACAACAGAAAAAAGGTATAAAGAAAAAAGTCGTGGTTGGTTAGGTGTGAATTACAATATTCCCTAAATTACAAAAACTAATACTTCGCAATAACGAAATCAACACACCTACATAGAGAGACCACAAAATGAAAAATGGGATAGGAAAATTGCGACAGAGGGATGGTTTTTAACAACAGATGTATGCAATAGTTAAATAATTGGAATTTATGGAATGAATAAATTGTAAAAATATCCAAGAGTTCAATGATTGAAATTCAGATAAAAAATGCAAATAGATTAGATCTTGCATCTAAGATTAATTCCATTTTCATTAGCAAGAGATTGTAAATAGGCATGAAAGTTGTGCTTGGAACACGCACTGATGAGTAGTGGATAGATCCATGTGATGTGGGGCAAAGCACATGCATTATGTTTTCATTGTTTCCATCAAATTTCAATTGAAAAATGTACGGTTTCCAATGTTTACGTTATTTGACTCTTGTTTAAATGTATTCACATGTTTGCACTTTGCACTCCATGTTAGTTGTATAACTAACTTCTAATCTCCATCTTGTTCATACGGAACACTCCGTATTAATATAAGTACAAGTGTACAACTATAGTAGTACAAACTACGTATTATAAGATATTTAATTAATTATGTTGGTGATCGGTTAATTATGTTTTCAACGTTTGCTTCTATACTCAATAACGTCGTTTAGCTTGATCAACTTGGAAGTATTATTTACAACATCTGAAACTCCGTCTTATATTTTGACAAATTTGACGATAGAAATTCTTATGTAGAGTTAAATAATAAGAATGAGGATCCATTTTTAGATACAACGAATCATGCGGAATTAGGTCCAAAATAAATCCAAAACAGGTAAAAGAGTTCGAGTAAGGGTATTATGGTTAAACTCTTGCCTAAATCCGTTTTTATCTCCATAGAACTCGAATACGCCAGGTTCAATTTGAGGATCCATATCCGTGATAACGGATTTGGATTCATGGATCTGAGTTGGGTCCTAGGATCTACTACCATCTCTACATGGCATCTAACGTGACACCTGCTTGTGGATATTGATCTATAAGTACTCAAATTACCTTTAATCTTCATATCGAATAAAACAGACTCGACTATCGGAGCGGTTTTAATCGAATAAGCCCCAAGGGTTGCTGATATGCAATACCTTTGTAGGTATCGAATTGGATTAGAGACAATTACAAGATTACATGCCCTAAACACATGTTTCCAAACCTTTACGAGAACAACAATGTAACTTAATTTAGATATGAAGTCCTACGAGGTACAACCAACCATAAAGTATGAATAAAAATAAATATTTTTCCTTTATACGGATACTATTCAATACTAGGATTACTGAATTATTGCAATTTGCAAATGATCCCATCTTTTTCTCATCTTGCAAAGCAAGAAAAGCAAATTGAGCTTTTGCCACTAACTTCAGTGCAAACTTTTTGATCTGAAGCATGAGTCAAGTTTCGTTGCTTTAGCCTTTCAAACTTTCATAACATTTTAGTATATCATATAGTGTAATTTCAAGTGGCGTACATTCTTTTTTTAGAAGAAAAGTGGCGTATATTCAAAAGTAACTTTCGAGAGATCTTTACAAAGACGGTTTAGCCATGTTCATTTATAGTGAACGTGATTTGAGAGTATTTTGTTAGTTGGTGCACTATTTCATACGGAGTTTATGATATGATATGGTCTGCCCACATTACAATTTGTCAATTTGCACTAGGACTTAATTTGATTTCAACGCAAAATAAAATAAGAGATATAGCGGCTATTGGACTGCGAAACATGGTATTTATTTACCATCTTAATTATTTATTGCTGTGATGTCATTAATGCAACATGTTACATCATAAATGAAGTACATTTGTTTGAGAAAAATAGTAGTGTTAAAAGAAATTTAGGATATTTCCACAATAGGATATTTCCACAATAGGAGGTAGTTGAAGCAAATACATTTTTATTAACTATCCTCCTTAGAAATATCCTAAATTTTAATTAATACCAATATTGAAAAACGAAAATTAACAACTTTTTATCTAAAAGTAAAAAAAAAACCCCTAACATCTCTTTCACTATCCTCTAAAGCCCTAGTATCCATTGTAGAGTTTTAGAGGTGTTTCTATCAATATTTACCCGTAAATAGCCCTAATTTTTGTTCCTTTTGTATTTTATATCTTGATTTTGTTTGTTTTTATTAGGTTTATGAGTCAAAGCGTAACAAAGCAGAAAGTCATAGAGGAAGTAATATGTACCAATAGATATTGTTTTTACTCGTACACTATTGCAGTGAAATTTGTGAAAGATTCTAAGTGGCATAATATTTTATTATTTTTTAAAAAAAATCCCTTGAACAATGTCTTGTGTGTGGCTAGTTGCACATACTACATACATGTTGTCGTCACATTTGTTTATAAAAGTAATCTTTTTTTATTAATATGAGCAACCACATTTATTAATTAAGGTAACCTTATTTTGCCCGTAAGAGTAACCCTTTTGTTCTTACCATATAAACAACACGCTTTAACTATTAATTCCAGGTGTCAATGGGTCGGGGCAGGACAAATGTTGATTGGTATTTCAAATCCCCTACCCATCCTCGCTTAGAATTTCCATTTTCAATCCATCACTATCCTTATGACTGGTTCGTTGATTTTTTTTTTTATTTTGTATATTTCCTGTAGATAAAACTTAATTATTTGACAAATCACAAAAATAAATTTATTCTTGAATAAGCTCACTAAAACTCATTGTAAAGATGAAATGGCTGGGGTGGGTTGGGGTAGGGCAAATTGGGATGGATATATATTCTAAGATCTACTCCTGTCCCCACTATCTATAGTGGGTATGATTTTATTACCATTTCCGTCCCAGCACCGGTCTGAGCCACTTAATCTAGACCAAGGTCGGGGATGGAACATGTCTTTTATCAAACCTGTCTCACTATCACTGACATATATAGTATCAATGCTTATAATGGTTCTAATTTAATCAAATCACTTTTGTCATTTCTTTTTTGGTAAACATGTTACTAATTACTACTATTTGACAAAGACCAATTAGCCTCATTGGTACAATTAAAACGCATTTAAATTATCCATTCGAGTTTATTTGTGAAAATTTATATATGAGGTATCTACAGTTTACATATGAATGATACTGATCTGATTTACTTGGTAGTAAAAGAATTATACCACCTTTATTGCTTTTTATGTGCAACGAATGAATTTTTTATGTCATGTATAAAATACCTATTTATTACGAATAAAAAGAAACAGAGGCAGTAAATAGCTTTTCAATATATAATTTTACTTACCAACTAAAACATAGTTCATATAGGTTTATACCTGATCAATATTATATTAGTCATAGTTGCCTTATTTTAAGTAAATCGATCACACACTAGATTGTATAATGATTAATAAAAGATTAGTTTACCTATTTATTTTCAACATAGTTACTAACCTAAGTTACACTTCTCCTCACAACTTCACAATACAAGCTCAGTGATATTTGCGGGAGAATCAAAGGACAGTTATGGGCTTTTAACGTTGATAGCAAGACCATTAACTAAAAGTCAATGCATAAGTATAGTATGTTCATATAGGGCTTCCACACTAAGTTAATTTACACCTAATTAATCTATAAATACCCCATTAAGAACAGTAACCTAGGCATTCCACATTAAGTGAGCTCAAATACTTTAGTTAATTTTTTTTCAAAACTCCCTCAAAAACCTCCCTTCCTAAGTTTGAAGCAAAATGGGCAATATGAAGGCCCTCTCTATGCTTTTGGCCCTCCTTGTTTTTTCCATGCTTGCCACTGAGGTAATTTTGTTAATATCTATTCTTTAGTTTGAGGCATTTGTTCCATAAATGGAGTACATTCTTAAAAACAAACAAGCTAATTTTTTGTTGTTTCACGTTGTGTTTTGTCATTTTTCTAGGCTTTCGCAAGGCATTACCAATACGGAAATGGGAGTTTGAGGCTTTACCGTAAGTAAATTACTACTGTATAAAATTAATGTTCTGTTTTACATTTTATGTGACAATTTAATTCTTTTTTGCTCTTCTCATTTGGTATATGTCAACCACACAATAAAAACAGATACATATAAGTAAAATTTGTGAAATACAAACTAAAAATATTGCAAACGTATAATAATATTACATTTTTTTTTATATAGAAAAACAAAGTCTGCCTTGCGCGTTTGAAATTGTAAGGTACTTGATATATTGTAACGGTGAATATGACTCTAAAGTAAAGTACTTGGTATATAGTAATTGCGAATATGATTCTAAAGAAAAAAGTTTTATTCAAAGAAAATGTACTCATATACATAATTATACTGTACTACATTTCGTACATCCTTCACAAATGATTTTTAATCTTACATATTATTAAAGTTTTTTAATCTTAAATTTCATTAAATGACTCACACATGCATGCACATATTTCTATAGAAATCTAAAGCCAATAGAATAGTGCCAATTTGTTGATACAAGTACACACCATAGGTATTTTAATGACCTTAAAACTTAAATAATATTCATGTCACACATTAATCAATCACCTATACCTTTAAGCTTACAAAAGTAAATTAATTTGTGATAGTTTTATGAAATGTACGTATTTTTTATTTATTGTTACAACAACAATCACCATTTCTATGTCAACGCACGATTTATACCTTTATTTCCTTAGTAAATTCTTAACAATTCTATAGTACACTTTATATTTGTTACAATTTTTTTTTTTTTTTTTTTTTTTTTTTTTTGGAAGGAACTTTATATTTGTTACATTAATAATATGATTTGGATATGAAAATGAACAGAATGCCCAAGGCGATGTAAGAAAAGGTGCTCAAAAGCTCGAAAAACTGAGGAATGCAAGTTCTTTTGCAATAAGTGTTGCCGAACATGCCTTTGTGTTCCACCAGGTACCTTTGGTTACAAATATCTCTGCCCTTGCTACAACAACTGGAAGACCAAGAGGGGAGGCCCCAAGTGCCCTTAATTACCTTCACGTTCTTCAATTTATAGGCGGGAAAACGAACATTGCTAAAGTTACTTAGTAGGTAACCTACCTAATGCCCTAATGGGCGGACTACATACGGTATTTCCAGAATAAAGGACGTACAGAATTCTATCATCTACTACTAAGTTCTTTAGTACCAAAATATGTATGTGTGCATTTTTATTTGTTTTGTAGTTGTGTTACGTGTTACTACGTACTTCGCGGCCTAATTAATCTGATGCTCCATTTTGGGGTCTATATTTGTAAACCCCACAATCGAGAGCGTGATTGGACTTTAATTTTTGGCCATTTTGTATTCTATTTGAATTTATAAAATACTTATATAATTTTAGACATTGCTCATCATTCAATTCAATGCTTTTCCATCCTCATTTGAATCATATATTATGATATACTTATAGTCCTTGATTTAGGAACCATTACAATTATAGTAACTTGGAATTTTATACCCAAAAAATATAATATTAGCTTATAATTAATAATTGTTCTCTACATGGAGTACATGGATAAATGTTAGTTGTCATTACAATAAAGTTAAGACAAAATTGGCTTCAACACCAATTATATATGGCTTTTTTAATCACCAACTATGTTTATAAAACTTTTTGAATGTGTAAAATTATTATTGCTCCGTTGTTGAATGTCCTTGATATACTTATTGCCAAAGAATGTACAAGAAATACAAACAAACAATTTGAAGATATTTATGAAATCAAATGTATTACTTTTGAAACCGATAGTGTAAAATAAAATTCAAAGGTTAAAATCGCCATTAATATATACTAGGAGTATATAATTAGGAGGGCCTTCTATCCAAGGGGAACACCTAATTTATCATTGTAAAACTAGCTAGATAGACCTACGCAACTTATAGTAAAATTAAATTCGCTATGAAATGTAATTTAATTTTGGATATACTGTACTCTGTATTGTATGGGATGATATCGGTGCCAATATCATGCCATACAGACCCGAGTCAGGTCAACCCTTGGACACTAGTTTAGCATAACGGCTTCAAGAACATCATATCGGCATAGCTAGATTATGCCTGCTCAAGACCAACCACGTGGCAGCAGGCTGCTTCCAACACGTGGACACCAACCACTAGCATGGCATGCAACCACCTGACGGACAATTTTCCTATAAAGAACCACTAATTTGCTCCTTTGCAAGATATAACAAATACTCTCTCTCTCTCTCTCTCTTTCTCTCTCTCTCTCTCTTCTCTTCCGTTCTCATATCTTCTTCTTGAATTCATCATTGACTTTACCATCGGAGTGGTTTTCTTCGGACACACCCCAGGGTTAGCTAACTTACATTGATTGTGTAGGTACCTGGCTGGACGATAGGATTTTCACAGATCCTGGATATGGGTTATCGGAGCACATCCGGAACAATTGGCGCTAGAAGGAGGGGGTAGTGATTACTTCTATCGCCTAAGAACCTAACACGATTGAAATATGGCCGAAAACAGTGATATACCGAGAATTAATAATAAAACTCCAAGAATTGGTGAGTTAAATATTGTTATGGGTAATAATGTTAACATCCCAGAAGTTACGATAGAGGATAAAATCCATACTATAATGGGAAATCAATTTAACATGCCCTTAACCCTTGAACGGCGAAATGCTGATATACCAGATCCCTTGCCGAATTTACTCCGGAGGAATTGGAGATAACAGCAAGGGTAATGAGAGCCATGAATAAGAAAAGGAAGGAAGCAGGAGGTACTATCGTTGGGCAGGCTGGGGCTGGACAGACCTAGGAAGTACCGATAGTTAATCTGGAGAGCCAATTTACAATGCAGCACACTCCCAAAGGCATCAAACCCGAGAACCATCACCTATATGGTTGCATTCTTCTTCCGACAGGGAGACACAGGGGCAGTCAGTCTTCCAGTCATATCAGTGACTCAAGGTCTCAAAGGCAAAGAACCCCTGTGAGCACAAGGCAACACGTAGCGCGAGCTATTATAAGACCCAGGGCGTCACCGTTTACTCAAGAAATTCTTGATCAACCGATGGAAAAGATCAAGATGCCGACATGCAAGTATGATGGGAAGGGTGATCTAAGAAGGTACATATCATCCTACGGGGGCAAATCGGAGATTTTTTGAAGCCGGCCTAGCTCTGAGCATATTTGTTACACAAATAAGCTCACTTGTGGGGAAAATCGGATATTTTTGAAGCCGGCCTAGCTCAACCAACTGAGCATATCTACTACTTAGATAAGCTCACTTGGGGGGTAAATCGAAGATTTTTGAAGCCGACCTAACTCAACAAACTGAGCAAATCTGCTACATAGATGATAAGCTCACTTGGGGGGCAAATCGGAGATTTTTGATGCTGGCCAAACTCAATGTTACAATTATAATAAATAATAAATAAAAAGTAAAAATGGGAAAAGAAAGCCCAAACATATCATCATAAATTAAAATGGGAAAAGAAAGCCTAACATATCATCATAAATTAAAATGGGAAAAGAAAGCCTGAACATATCATCATAAATTAAATTAGGAAAGAAAAGCAAGAATATGTTAAATCAAAATACACTCCAAAGGTTGAAATGATAGAAACCAACCAAGTCATTATCTAACTCGCACTTAATTAAGCAGATATTCAGATGCACTCACTTGGGCAGCTAGTTGTATGAGATGATATTGGTGCCGATATCATGCCATTGCCATACGAACCCGGGTAGGGTCAGCCCGTGGACACTAGTTTAGCATAATGGCTTCAAGACCATATCGGCATAGGTTATGTCTGCTCAAGACCAACCACGTGGCTGACTGCTTCCAACAAGTGGACACCAACCACTTACATGGCATGCAGCCACCTAGCGGACAATTTTCCTATAAATAGCCACTAATTTGCTTATTTGCAAGGTAACAAATACTCTCTCTCTCTCTCTCTCTCTCTCTCTCTCTCTCTTTTCTCTTCTTATCATTCTTCTCTTCTATTCTTTTATCTTCTTCTTGAACTCATAACTAATAACTTTATCATCGGATTGGTTATCCCCGGACACACCCCTGGGTTAGCTAACTTACATTGATTGTGTAGTTACCTGATTGGACGATAGGGTTTTCACATATCAATCCTGGATACGGGTTATCGGAGCACGTCTGAAACATGTATATCTAACGTATAGGGTCTTTAATGTAAGTTAAAAATAATTCGAAAGAAGGATAAATTTCCTATGTTTCATTTTTGGTGCTCCTTTATAGATTATTGTCACTGTTCGATCACAATTTGTGGAGATCTTTAAAAAAAATCAACTTAAAAAAACAATACATGTGCATGTAAGGTCTTATTTTTTAGTCTCAATATAAACACTTCAACAAAATCAATTTTTTGTAACTTTAACAAAAATGTAATAAATAAGTTGTATATTAATGGTTGAAGATGTATATTAGCAAACTTATACCATATTGTAGTCAAACCAAAAAAACTTTTTTTTTTTAAATAAAAAAAAATCCAAAAAAAAAATATGTCATTGCTTACACATTCCACTCAATTATGCATGAAATTTTTTCACGTTGATGCAGAATTAAATAAAGTACCAATTCATGTTCATAAATCATAACACCCACGTTACTTCATCCTGATACTTCGGAAGGAAAATCCTCAAATTGCTTGAATCGCTCTTAAGTCTTAACCTCAAGGGGATAAGGTTTTTTTTTTCCCTAAATAATAAAATGGTGTACAATTTTTATTATCTATATGAACCATTTTGTCCCATTGTAAATTTGTAGCGAAAGAATTTTCACATATACGCATATTTTTATTTTTATTTTAAAAGTACCACAGTATATGTATGGCAATTATAGTTAGGAGAAAATCCAAGTCTCTCTCTGAGAAAATCCAATTTGTGAAAATCCAATAGAATCTTTTTGTTTTATTTTTTAAATAATAAAAGTAAAATAGTAAAGTGTCACAAAAACAAATGCATAAAGTTGTGAGAGGAGATAAACTGGATTGTTAATCTCAAACATTAATTAACAAGGGCTTCCTCGTTAGTTAGTGGACCTTTTTCTGGCAGATAAACATATTTTCATATGAAAGGGGGTTCTTATACAAATATACTTGGCATTTTTGACCCATAATTTAGTTTTGATCTGAACAATAACCAAAACTAATACTCCATATTTGATTTCGAATGTTTTCGTAAGAACATGAAAAATAAAATGGTATGTGTGTCAAATATGTTTTCCTTAAAAATTTAACATGTTGTAAATTACTACCTTAAAATTAATTATATTTTACAATTACTATATCCAGTCATTTTCTGGTTAATTAGCCCAAGTATGACATCACTTATTACCAAATGTAGTTTATGTCATTCTAATCTTATCTTTGTGACCTATTAATTAATCATCTTATTACCCAAAATATGAAGCCGAAAAATGTGATCTATGACATTTTTATCATTTATTAACGGTTTTCCCTTATTAGCTAGCGTTAATGTAAATTAGAATTATTGTGATAAGTGATGTCATATATAATTGGGCTATTTTGCCAGAAAATGGCTAGAGGCAGTTAATTTCGTTTATACTCATTTAATTAATCACATTTTTCTACACCTTTGTGTGAAATGAAATGAGAAAACATGCTTGGTTCATTTAATTAAATAAGAAAAACTATTAAGCTCTTGTTCACTTTCTTCACCTACCTTAATTTATTGTGTTGCTAAACTAAAACTATTTTTACTTGGCTGAAATTATATTTATTGCAATTAAATATTTTTTTGGTGAACTTAAATATTTTTTTTGGTGAACTTAAATATATTAACTAAACTAAAATTATTTTTACTAATTAAGATTTATTTTTATTGATTTTCTATTTTATTTATTCTTTAAATAAAATTACTGATTTTCTCTTATTTAAACATATTTTTTTTGAAAAAATACACTTTAATAATCCCAACTTTCGATTATTATTTTGCAATAATCCCAACTTTCAGTTGTGTTTTCTTTCTTTGTTTTCGATTACCGTTTACCTGATGAAAAGGTTAAATTTTTTTAAACAAATTATCTGCCACGTGTCGCATGTCAATTGGCTCAAAAAAAAAAAAAAATTTTAGATTAAATTAAAAATCCAAAAAAAAAAAAAAAAAAAAAAAAAAACCGAAAAACAAAAACCACCCGCCACTAACCTCCTTCCCCAGCCGACCTTCTCCCTCCCCTGAACCATCGTCTTCGATCCAAGCCCCACAATTCCGACCTCCCTCCCTTCCCCCCACGTTGAAAACATTCCCCTCAACCCATTTTTATTTCCGTTTTTCGGCATATGGAGGAAAGATAAAGGGGGTTTTGGGTGGTTTTGGGTTGGGGGGAAGGAGGCAAGGTGGTGTCGATAGCTAGGTTATGGGATAAGGGTAGTTTTGGGGTGAGGGAGGGAAAGGGGACGATTTTGGGGGCGAGGGTTTTGGTTAATGGTGGCTATGGGTGGTTTTGGGGTGGGGCTGAGGAGGAGGCTGGCCACACAGTGGTTGTGGGCTGTGGTTTGAATTTATTTTAATTCTTTTTTTTAAAAAAAAAAATTTGGACCAATCATGCCTAGACACGTGTAAGGTAACTTAGAATAAGAGGTCATTAACTTTTGTCAACTGGTTTGAGATTTAAGAAAGAAAACACATGTGAAAATTAGGATTATTGCAGAATAATCGAAAGTTGGGATTATTAAAAGTAAACCGGAAAAAGTTGTGATTATTAAAGTGTATTTTTTATATTGTTTTTACTAAACTCAACTTATTTATACTGAATTTAAATTAATTTCATAGAATATTATAATTTGAATAAGGTGAAGGGAACAGGGCATAAGTAGTTAATTGTGCAGTAGATGTCTACTAGGTTAGTTTATTAAAGTCTTGACTCAAGATCTACAATCAAATCTTGTCTGCATCACTGCCCATTGTGACTCTCTTCTACATTTAAAAAAAAATATAAATAAAAACGGTTGCCTAGTTAGTTTAGGCCCTTCTTTCTCCACCTAAAACTTGCTAAAATGAATTTTTTTACTGAAATTATATTATTTTCGCCTAAACCTTTAATTATTTTGACTGAACTTAAATTATTTTTACTTTTTAAAACTTATTTTTATTATCAGATTCTTTATTATATTTGTTTTTAAAATGCTTTTTACTAATTAAAACTTTCTTTTATTATTGAAATACACTTATTTTACTAAACTTAATTTAATTTTACAGAACCAAAATTAGTTTCAATATTTATTATTTGAATAAGGTGAAGTGAGCAAGGCCTTAGTAAAATGAGCTAAGGCTGAACAATGAGAAAAATAATAACCGCTCAAGTGTGTTTATAGTACAAAACAAGTTAATGTTATTAACCATGCTTTTTTGGCATACTTTCTTCTTATTCAAACACATTTTTTCAATTAGAAAAGAATAAAAAAAATATTAACTATTGATTACACCAATTGACACATAATTTTATCATAAAATTACCAAACTATATACCAATTTAAAATTTACAAACTCTTAAATGTACCTGGTTCACACTAATTTATTGTAGACCACTAATATTAGAGAAAACATGGTTGTTTTATTAATAAAAAAAAGGTTATTATATTAAAATAAAGGTTAATATGTTGAAATAAAAGTCATTGTGGCATTATGAAAGCTATAACAGGTTAATTTAATTATTTTTTTTATGAAATTTTTTATATACTGGTCACTATGAATAATAAAGGTCACTATGGTAAAATTAGAGTCACTATGTTCAACATAACGTTATATTTCAAGTTCACAATAATATTAAAAGTTACACATATTTTAATAAAAGTTATTATGCTAAAAATAAGGTTACTATATTAAAATTAAGGCCAAATTAGAAAATAACACCCAATAAAAACCCCGATTTTGATAATAACACCTGCCAAAAAAAAAGTTTTATTATAACACCACCAAAAATCCCAAAACTTTGGTTTCACCACCCAATAACGGATTTTTGGATGGAAACCGTTAGTGGGGCCCACTAGGGACACGTGTTAGTTGTTTATTGCTTTAAAAAAAGAAAAATACAAAAAAAATAAAATTAAAAAAAAAAAGAAAAACCCCTAAACCCTCACCCAGCCACCAGCCCCACCACCGACGGTTGTCACTCCACCGCCGGAGACCCCCACTGTCGCCGGAACACCTTCCTTCACCGGCACAACATCACCACCACCGTCGCCCCATCATCACAGCAACAACCCCATCACCACAACAACTGCCGAAGCGCCGAAATCCAAGCCCCATCACCAGCCCCAACCCACTAGCCGGAGAAAACCACGCCCAATTCCACACGCATCCCTGCCAGATCCAATTGCGACCTCACCCCTTGCTGGCGACGCGAATCCACGAACCTTAAACCAGCGAAAAGGATTGTTGGTGGCTGGTGTGGTTTTAACGGAGATTGGGAAAAAGAGGTGGTGGTGGCGACTTTTCCTTTTCGTCGGTGTAGGGATCGTGGTTTCGACGGTAAAGGAGGGGCTATGGTGGGTGGGGTTGATGGCCAGTGATTTCGCCAGTGAAGGAAAGGGTTCCGGCAGCAGTGGGGGTCTCCGGCGGTGGAGTCACGACCGCCGGTGGTTGGGTTAGGGTATAGGGGTTTTTCTCTCCTTTTTTTTTCTTTTTTTTAAACCAATAAACAACTGACACGTGTCCCTAGTGGGCCCCACTAACGGTTTCCATCCACAAATCCGTTAGTGGGTGGTGAAACCAAAATTTTGGGATTTTTGGTGGTGTTATAATAATTTTTTTTTTTTACAGGTGTTATTATCAAAATCGGGGTTTTTATTGGGTGTTATTTTCTAATTTGGCCTAAAATTAAAGTTACTATGTTCAATATAACGTTAGTTGCATGCGTACAAACCTCAGGGTCTACAATAATATTATTGTGGACTAGTTCCACGCAAGTTTTTCCCCATACGTATGAAATTATGAATGGAGTATTATGTTTATATCTCGCAAGCACAATTAAGTGTGGTAAATATCGACCATAATTGTAAAGTTTTTATTACTTGCCTTTAATATATGGGTAAGAAGAAGAACTACGTAGTACAACTTTTTGTGCACCTTTCCTTTTCAAAAAAAAGAAAATATTAGGTAAATACAATGTTTTTGTTTATATGACATGATAGAATCATAATTAACCTCCCTATCCACCTTTTTTTAAATATTGGTGTTTTTTGGGTAACAAAACTAACAATACAACGGCCAAAATTGACATGTTGGTATATAGTTAGGTATGAGAAATTGCTGTAAAAAGTTCCCATAAAGCTACCCTAAAATACATTACTAAATTTTGCTCCGATTAATTGAAGGCAAAACGTTCAGAACTTCAGATCACATTAGGTCACTACACTCACTAACCAACCCTCTAATTTTTCTTTTTCTATGCATGAATATATGTGTGCACTTGCACACCGATCCATGACCAATCGGATTGATAATTTGGTTATTCAAAAGTCGAAAACTAGACCGGCAATAAACAATCAATATCAAATCGGGCCGTTAAAACGTTCAAAACTCATATTGGACATGTTCGGAGTGATATAAGACATTTTAAAAAAAATATCTACAATACTCTATTGTATGGAAGAAAGATTTGAAAACTCAGTAATTCAATTCAAGCGTTGTTTGAAAGCCTTCTATAATGATTTTAATGTAGAGAAGGTTTTGCTTAAGATCGGACTCACCGTGAGTCCAATATATCTGACAAGGATATTCTATTCTAATATCTAACAATAATAATCTAATACCTGACAATAATAATCTAATATCAAACATTAATAATCTAATACCTGACATTATTTTCTCCTTCACCACTGACCCTCTTCTTCTTCCATGCATGGCTACAATATTTTCTCTCTCCTGAACCCTCATATTTCACATCATCTCTAACAAGAGTCGTGAAATTGTTGTTCTCATTTATCAACAAATTGTTGTTATTATCCAACAATTTGTCGGGTCCTATCCCAAATGAGTTGGGACAATATTCTTCATTGATAAGATTCAGGGCAAATAACAACAAGCTCACTGGGTCAATTCCTCGAACAGTTGGTGGACTACTAAACATAAATTTTTTCGATCTTGGAGATAACCTATAAGTCTGTAAAGATTAAATAAAAATTTATATTCCCTGCTTTAGGCAGCATCAACCATCAATACGGAGTATATAATTGGCTGGAGGTACGGAAGAGGAGGCAGAGAGTGGTGGAGGACCTGGCACCATTGATGGGCGGGAGGAGAGAAAAAGGGGAAGAAGGAGAACTGGAGAATGGAGATGGTGGACTCACGGTGAGTCCGTCTCACCCAAAACTTTACCTTTAATGTATTCCATAATAATCTTCCCAACTCTTTTGACTAGAAATTTAATCTTTGCAAACATGCCAAAATTGAGCCTCATTATGACCAAAAAGAAAATTATTTTAAGAGGTACGATTTTCCCCTTCACTTGTATTTCACTTATCTACATAAAACAAAAGGATATCATCATACGTACAATTTGTGCCTCGTTTTGTAACTATAAATATATGACCAAATTGACTAGATGAGTAGATGGACTGTGTAATACGTATTTGATTACAAATTTACTAGAAGTAGTATATGCATAAATTGAGAGTATCATTTTATTTTCAACCATTACCAAATTTAACAAGATGCGGTAACCAACAAAACTTAAAATTGAAGACAGGAGATTTTAGTACGTATATGATTACGACTATTTTTGGATGATGAATGAACATTATTACAATTTACTTCAACATCTCCAATATTCCAATTTGATTAATATAATTTAATAGTTGATTAAATAGCCAGCCTACTCTAACACAACTCTTCACAAGAGGAGGTCAGCGATATTAGCGGAGAAAGGGACATATGAAAATGGCCTCTAACTAAAAAGTCAATGCATGCATGCTAAACTATACTTTGGTTTTTTTTTTTTTTTTTGCTAAACTATACTTTGGTTTAGTTTCATATGAGTACGTCTTCCTAATTTAGTAATTGTACCCAAAAAAATCTATAAATACCCCATCTTAAACACAAACCTAATCATCCACAATTCTTTCTCTCGGTAATATTTCATAACAATAAACTCGAAATCCTCTTCTTTTCTCTCCTTTTGTAGCAAAATGGCCAATATTAAGGCTATGTCATTGCTTTTGGCTTTCCTCGTTGTTGCTATGCTTGTCTCTGAGGTAACTATGGCCAATTGTAAGACATTCTTCCTTTACTTAAGTAGAAAACTTTGCATACTAATATTGAATTCATAATTTTTTTCATCAGACTTTTGCTGGGACCAACTACTATGGGAATAACAGTTTAACACTTGCTCGTAAGTAACAAAAATTATGTTTTTATCAATAATAGAATTATAGTTTTTGTTTTCACGTCACACTTTTAAATTATACTCTTTTATTTCGAGTCTATAAATTATGTGAAATTACTACTTTCCTAGGAATAACACATGCATGTTTATATACGTGACAATATAATTAACATTAGTTTCATGAAATTAAAACAGAATGCCCTGGACGTTGTAAGCAAAGGTGCTCAAAGGCTCGTAAAACCGAGGAATGCAACTTCTTTTGCAACAAGTGCTGTCGAAAATGCCTTTGTGTTCCACCAGGCACCTTTGGCTACAAAGAACTTTGCCCTTGCTACAACAACTGGAAGACCAAGAGAGGTGGACCAAAGTGCCCTTAATTTCATTTCTTAATCTTCTTAATAAAACTATCCAAATTGACTTAATTTTGAGGCTACATAACGCTGTAATATTAATGATAGTTGATATATTTTGACAAATCATATCGAAATATATCATTTATCAATTACTATTTATGTATTGTTACGTACATTGTGATTTTGTGAGCTAGTACTTATTAAGCTTGCTTTAATATAGTACTAGAATGTATTTGTTTTACATTGTGATTTTTATTTTATCCCATCGCTTCATTGAGGGGTATATTTCTTGTAAACCCTTCTATTGAGAGCGTCATATGGCAAATATTTCTAGCCATTTTCTATTTTTACATTTGGCAATTATTGTTCATTGGATTGGTTATAATAAAAAATCAAAAAAAAAAAAAATTATAATATTTTGATTTAAAAAGGTTCTTTTTATTTTTAATTTACATGTATCATTATGATTAAGTTTTTATTGTTGTAAGCTCATAGCACTAATATCTTCGAATGCTTATAACACTATCCTTAAACGGATCGGAGTGGCTCTAACCGATCAGAGTTAACTAGTAGAAAATCATTTAAATGCCAAATGCATTTAGATAGAGAAAGAACAAGGCATCAAAATATGATCAGTTTAAGTTTATTCGAATATCTTAAGTGATCGATTAGTACAACGGATCAAAATTAAACAGAATTATAGATCTACAAAGTACAAAATCCATAATATTTGTAGTTATACGCTCCTTACAAAACAGGTCTACATGCTTAAACATATGCTAAACCAATATTCCCTGAGGCAAAACTCTATGATTAAACATTATTAATAACTTGATCAAAACACTGAAAAACAATATAAAACACTAAGGACCGATTTGAATCGATCACCACCATGTTATCTACTCGATCGTATGTATTATGAAGAATAATTAATTTATAATCAAACATTACTTCGTAGAATATTACGTAATGTTGTCCCCTTTTTATATGAGGAAGAATGTACACTCGTACTAATCATACATAGATGCGTGCTTACAATAATCTGTTTAAACTAATTACAACATGGTCTTTTGTAATGATTTGAAATTTTGAATTATATAATTAAAGACATAGAGGAGATTTATGTACCATTACTCCGTATGAGACAACATGACATTTTTATCAAAACTAAATAAGTTGATTAAGATTTAAGTTACGATTGGATGAGATAGGTTTCTTATTAAAGAAGTTAAGCTGAATAAAGTGTAATAATATAGCTACAAGTATATAAGTAAGAGAGAATATATAATTCCTTTATTATCCTCGGTAAAATAGCGTATATAGATGAGGTACAATAGTGGTTCGATGATATAATTATTATGAAAACTAATTATAAGCCTAACTACTTCTCATTCCATTCATGAAAAATCTTCGGGTTAGGTTTTGACATGCATATTAAGAAATTCAGTAGGATGAGGTGCAAGTTAGTAAGAAAAAATGTTAGTGGGGAGAGGTTCTCATCACATGAGTTGAATACTAAAATTTTCTATATTAAAAAACAAAAAGATATTTTTTGTACATCCTAAAAAAGAATGCAAGAATATTATTTGTGAATGGAAGAGTATGAAAGATCTTTGACATTTTTTTTTTATTTTTTTTTTGAATAGTAAAATTAATTTGTTAATAAAAAGTCATATAATTCAAAATCTACAAAAGAAATTCGAACTTAACAAATACAAAATGTATTGCATCAAATTTGTAAAAAAATATGATAAAAACTATGATCGTCAAGTAGCAGATCTTATGCGGTTAAACATCCCTTGCTAATACCGCTGAAAAAATTAAACAATCTAGTTAGAAAGACAATCTAACGATTCTTTGCAATAGTGTGGATGTTTTTAGCTGATCATGATTGTATTATTAGGAAAATTGGTAACTTTAATTTAGCAACCCCGCATTATTGATGTAAACTTTGTTATCTTAAACATTAATTTTGTATCTTAATAATGTACGGTGTTTAAAATTTACAAAATCATAATTTAATGGTTATATTGGATCGTAAATCAACTAATTAATCAAAGGACAGATGTTACTATATATCACACTTAATCCTTTGTCCCTTAATTATTTTCCCCATTTGACCTTTTACAGTGTTCAAGACGCATTTTCAAATGTATATATCTCCCTTTCTATATACGTAAAATTAAAATTTAATATTAATAAAATATACAATGAGACAATTCAATAGATCCCATATAAATATATTATCATTTATAGATTAATTAGAATTTATGGTTAAAATTTTAAAAATTTAACCCAAATATTTGTAATGGAGCAAAAAATAAGGGACAAAAGGGTACATTAATTAATATAAAATTTAAAAAAAAAATTAAAAAAAACCACTTTAGGTTCATCTTGCGTAAATTATACTGTCTACGACTAAGGAAGCTACTTTATGAACCTCTACTCCCTTTTCAACAAGACATGCATCAAATCAGTATCCTCTTAGATTTGACCATGCATATTAATTAAGAGTTAATATAATATGGATAATGCAGGTTACTCCATATTTTGGTAGGTATTGAAAAAATAAGTTAAGAATTAAAAATTTGACTATGGGAAAAAAGGTTAATTAGCAAATTTTCCCAGAAAACATGAGATATGAAAACAAGAAATGAAAAAGTGATAAACAGGCCTGGTCACGCCCGTTACGAGTGTCCACTTTATACGACCAAAGAGGTTCCACCTCAAAACTATATGGCAATGAGGGGAGTACCCCTTAGGCTTATAAAGTAGACACAACTTTCTCTTTTCATCAATGTGGGATACACATTCCAATACTCTTCTTCACTTTTTACACTCTTTTAATGTGGGACAACACTTTCACTCATATGTGGGTTTGCTCATGGGCTCAACACTCCCCCTCACATGTGAGTTGTCCATAATACTGGACTAGATCACAACACAACCTAGCTCTGATACCATTATAAAATATTATTGAATAATTATCACGGTCATTCTCATCCCTCACACGAACTCTCGTGTTTAAGGTTCTCTCATTCTTCCACACAAACTCTCGTGTTTTTCATCCCAAGATCTCAGGCTCTTAATACCATGTTAAATTATGGGGAAAGTATTTCTCTGTATTTTCTCATTGTATTTTCCCATTCATAATATTCGGCCACATTACAATATATATAGACAATAGGAATATCTAACCCTAATATTTCTTAATATCTTAATAATTTCCTATAATATATCATATGTATCTTTTCACAATAGTATCTCAAATGATATTATTCTCATAATATCATATCACAGTATACATTCCTATCTCAATAAAAAGTGATATTAGAAGAATGTACTCCATTAGTGATGATCCGAACCTCATCTCATGGGTGGGAGAAGGTGCATTTTCCAATTAAAGTAACAACATACTTCCTCTGTTTCTTAATAGTTGCAACACTTCTCTTTTCACGCTTGCCGATACATGATTTTAATCGTTAATATCTTTAATTACCAATAAGTAAAAGTTATAAACATTTGATATTAATATTATAGTATTAATCAAAATGAATCTAACAAGATCTCACATGACTATATTTTTGCATAGCTATAAATCATCAAAGCTAATTAAAGTGAAACACATGAATAGTGTAAAAGTCAAACTGTTGCAACTATAAAAAAAAATGTAGGAAGTAATTTTTTTTAGAATAGACCAATATTAGAGCAAACAATTATTTGAAAACGAAGAAAGTACTTATAGATGAATATATACATTATAATCTGAGAGTGAGGGATAGCTCAAGTGGTTAGAGTTTCTCTCCTGATTTCAGGAGATTTTGGGATCGATTCTCACCCCTGCCCTTGTGGGTCTCTAAACACCAAAAAAAAAATATATACACTATAATCTATAATGGTCTTAAACTAGTATGTATATCAGTATATACTCCTCTACCCCTCCCTTCAAACATTTTTTTTTTTTTGTTTGAGGAAACCCCTCTAAATTAAACAAATTGAACCTTTTATAAACAAAGTACTCCGTATAGAGTAATAATTTTGAACAAGAATAATGTACGCACTATACCTCTTCTTTATTCTTATTCTCCTTATATTATAAAAATTACTAATCATTCATGAATTACAAATTTTGAAAATGGTGTATGAAGTGTGGATAAGTAAGAGATATGGAGTAAACGGTTGGAGAATGTAAGAAAATAATTACGAGTAATTAAAGATATTAGCTCATCTCGAAAATAAATTTATATAAAAGTAATTCGCTATATAAATATTGTGATATATATGCGTATGTAAGATAGTATAGGAAATATCTAAAATTGGAATAAGGTAGAAGTAAGTGAAATTTAAGAGCCCCTAAAAAAAATTATTATGTTGATCATTAAGTAATGGAAGCACCAATGTAATCATTGACTTCTTTGATTATTGTTACCATTATAATTAAAAATTCTAACGTAGTCCTATAACTTTTGGATATCACAATTTTTTTTTTTTTTTAAATGGACAGATGAGATTATTTGTTTTTTATTTATTTTTTAAGCACTTTTTTCAAACTGATATTAAAAACCAAAGCACTCTACTAGAGAGAAACAGTGCGCCTATAGAGCACTTCAACCTCACTTTCATCTTCTTCATCTGATACATTATAACTTCCTGGCAGTTCTAATTAACTTCCCGCCCATGTTGAATGTGGGGCCAGAGCTCTCAAATTCAAAATAATGAGCCTGAAGTCTTTCTTCAAACCGTTTCTCACTGCAGTTGAGAAACCATGCCAAGGAACACCTGATCCCTTTACTTTGTAATCTCTGATATCTAGGTTTAGTTCGGGATTCCAAGCTATAAGTAAAGTATTCTGGAAACTCGACTAGCTCTTTTATAGGACGACCCATTTCACTCTTGAAGAAGTAAAAACTATTCTTCATGAATCATGATCACATGTGGCATAGCCACTACTTTGTGGACATCTCACGAGCATCTTAGCCACTTCCTCAGCAGGTATACGGGTGTACCCCGTGCTATAAGAAACTCTGATTCTTGAAATCAGTTTTCTTGAATTTCGAGAGCGATACCAACCGACGAAGTCTTTCAGGTTCGTTTATGACTGCGAATTGAATGAATAAACAGACAAAATAAAGAAAAAGATCGAAAAACGATTAATGATTAGAAAAAGGGAATGGAAAAACGCAAGTTCTTTTGATTCAGAAAGACTCAACAAGTAGGAACTAAAAAAGATGAAGTCTTTCTAATGATCTAATGGTTTAATAATATTCTTATTTCCATTTTCAATTCGGCATTGTTAGTTATTTCGACTGGATTAATATTAGCAATGGAATAATTAAGTCATAATGCATTGGTTGATTGTATCATTAACCATTTATTTTTTTTGTGTGTGAGGAACTTATCATGAATCCACTGATTTCTGCCGCTTCCGTTATTGCTGCTGGATTGGCTGTAGGGCTTGCTTCTATTGGACCTGGAGTTGGTCAAGGTACTGCCGCGGGACAAGCTGTAGAAGGTATTGCCAGACAGAAAAAAGTGATTTATTTTTACTCAAAAAATAAATAAATAAAGAAATTATCTCAACCATCCATTTTAAAAAATTGTAGTAGTCAATAGTCATATGACTACATTAGAATCTCCCCATTATAACTAATGGAAGAAAATGAGTTATTCTAATTAATTGAAATAGCATAGAGATTGTTAATTGTTATTTTCTCCATTTCTTAAGATCATTTGCTTACAATCTCTAGTGTATCATTAAATTCCTTAGCTTCTAATAAAAAGAATAAAATAAAATTTGATAATACGAACTTATGTGTAGAAAAGAATCTATGAAGATTTTACATGATAACGTTTTTACTTATAATTTTCCTACGTCTCAAAAATAATAATAGTTTTTTTTTTTTTTTGAATGGATCAAAAATAATAATAGTTAATTAATTAACCAGCCTACTACTAACACAACTCTCCGCAAGAGGAGGCCAGCGATATTAGCGGGGAAAGGGACATAAGAAAATGGCCGCTGACCGAAAGTCAATGCATGCATGCATGCTTAACTATACTTGGGTTTCATTTCATGTGAGGTTTCCTAATTTAGTAATCTGTACCAAAAAAATCTATAAATACCCCGTCTTAAATACAAACCTAAATATCCAAAAATCTTAGCTTTCTCTTGTTATTCAATTCATTCATAACAACAACCTTAAAAATCCTCTTCTTTTCTCTCCTTTAATTTATAGCAAAATGGCCAATATTAAGGCTATGTCATTGCTTTTGGCTTTCCTCGTTGTTGCTATGTTTGTCTCTGAGGTAATTATATATGGCCAGGCCAATTTTAAGATATTCTTTCCTTTAATGATGTAGATTATTACTTTGTAGCATAAACTAATATCGATTTCTTGATTTTGTCAGGCTTTTGCTAGGACCAACTACTACGGAAATAACAGTTTGAAGCTTTCTCGTAAGTTATAAAGCTTATGTTTCACACCACAAAATTGGTTTTTACTCATTCATGTCGAGTCTATGAATAACAATGACTAGGAACAACTCTTTCTTCTTCTTCTTCTTCTTCTTCTTCTTCTTCTTCTTCTTCTTCTTCTTCTTCTTCTTCTTCTTCTTCTTCTTCTTCTTCTTTTTTTTTTTTTTTTTTTTTGGGGTAAGAAAAAAGAAAACATGAAAGAAGACTAGGAACAACTCATGCATGCGTGTATATGTAACAATTTAACATTACTACTGTATGTTACAAAATTAAAGAACTTTTTGTCTTAATGGCTTATATCTTGATCCTATATTACTCCGTGAAATTTTGTTATAATTCTGCTAAATGAGACAAGCATCATGATCTTAATAAAAATATACTTCATACGCTAACTTCAAACATTACCAAGATGTAAAAAGGAGCCATAAATTAAACATTTCTATCTCGAAATTCCGTATTGGCCTAGATCAAGTCCTACACATAACATATATAGTATATATATTCCATGATTTAATTTGCATAATCTCAGCTCAATCTTAATGACATGCAATACTTGTAATTATTACTATGTACTAAATTGATCATTTGGTTATGAAATTGAACAGAATGCCCAGGACGTTGTAAGCAAAGGTGCTCAAAGGCTAGAAAAACCGAGGAATGCAAGTTCTTTTGCAACAAGTGCTGCACAAAATGCCTTTGCGTTCCACCAGGTACATTTGCCAACAAAGAGGTCTGCCCTTGCTACAACAACTGGAAGACTAAGTTGGGTGGCCCCAAGTGCCCTTAATTAGAGGCAATATGAAATTCTAATATTACTAGCTATATACGTACTTAATTGCTACATTATGCTTATTTTTGTGAACTAGTACTAATTAATTAAGTTTTAATTAGTACTAGAATATGTAACTTTTTTTATTGTGATTTCAAATTATTACTACGAATCACTACTTCATTATTAGCTAATCATCTCATCGCTTCATTAAGGGGTATATTTGTTGTAAACCCTTCAATTGAGAGCGTTATAGGGCAGTTATTATTGCTAATTGGATTGGTTATACTAAATTAATACAATTCCAATAATGTTCTTTTCAATACGAGTATGATCATTAACTTAGGTTGTTATTATTGTAAATTCATAACCCGCGTATCGGCAAAGGTAGGCTACTAATATTATATATGCTTAGATGGAGAAGCTCTAACTGAGTTAACTTCGTGACACTAAAATAGTATAGAAAACCATTTAAATATCAAACATCAAATAGAGAAGAACCATACATCAAAATATACTCGTCTTAAGTAACTTGTGCCCTAAGAGGCTTAGATATGCTAAGTGGATGGTACTAGAATATATCAATATTCCCTGAGGGAAAAATCAATAATTTAACATGAATAACACTTAACCAAAGCACTAAGGATTTGAATCAACACCATGCATGCAATGTTATCTACTCGCTGGTAATATGGAATGTAGTTAGTGATTAAACATTACTTCCGTAGAATATTACGTGATGTTGTCGCCACATTAAAGAATAATGATACATAGATACGTGCTTATCCATGTAAGGGACACCCAAACAAAATCTGTTTAAAAAAACTAAATTAGAGACATGTCAGTGACTTATGTACCATATACTACGTATGAGGTAACATGAATACATATATTTTTTAAAAAAAAATTCAAAAGTAATTAGTAGATTGATTGATTAAGATTTAAGAGAAGATGAGAAAATTTTAGTTTCTTGCCAAAGAAAATAAACTAATCAAACAGAATAATAATATATAGCTACAAGTGTCTAAGTGAGAGGGGATCGGATAATTTTTTCTTTAGTATTCTCATTAATTACAAGATCGAGATACATATAAAGATACAACAGTGATTTAATAACATTATTCAGGAAATTAATTGTACACCTAACTTTATTATACTAATACGTACAAAAGATCACTAACATTATTTACGTATATACTTACATATATTGCAATCATAGTGGGAGGTAGACGTAAGCTGCAAGTATACAATTATCATGAAATATGAAAATAGCAAGACCAAGGGAAGATCTTGAGTAAAGAAATAGCAATTTGATAATGGGAAGGGATGTTTAAGTAACGTACTTAGCTTGTCCATGAAACCTTTTATTTCGATCAAATGAAATGATCTGAATTTATCTTGATCAAATGGATTCCTAGAGAGATCGATATATCGTACTAACATTAGACGCAAACCAATAATGTAGCCTTTCAAATATGAAGCTCCAATGTACGTAATCTTTAAAAATTTCTTTGAATGTACTGTTATGATCATTAATTAATGGAAGGATATATATGATTTATTCTTAATTTGTTGTGAAATTTAGAAATATATATTTATATTTCCAAATTAATTCATCAAAAGTGTTTAAAGTGTTATTAATGAGAGGAAAGCAAATCTCAAATACTCTTTGTTTTGTGTGTCACATCTGCAAATACATTATAGCATGCACATAAAAAACAATCAAGTTTATCGCACTTTTGATATGTATAAAATAGTCCAGTAAGAAATAAGAGGATAGTTAGTTTAAATTAATATCAATCAAACAACACAATATTTTCTGTAATTTTAATAGAGATAGTAAGAAAAGTTTAGTTAATGTTGTTTTCCTTAACTTTGTAAATTGATACATCCTGTATATGCATTTTTGAGCTAAAAATTAAACAAAAAAAAAAAACAAAAAAAAAAAAAAGAATGAGACAGAGACAAAAACGAATAAAGATTTTTTTTTTGAGGAAACAAAAAAAACAAAGATAATTCCACTAAAATCTAAAAATCCTATAAATACCTCTTATTAGATGGAAGCCTGTGCGATGCACAGTTTTTTCATCTAAGATTTTTAATTATTTGATTTGTTGTATTTAATAATTTCAGACAAAATTACAAAAGTTTAATATTTATTTCTTTTTACTATAATTTATAATGAATTTATTAAATATAAATAAATTGTAAATATGATATTTTTTCCGTTATATAAAATCTTTAATGTGAAATGATAAATTTTTAATAATTTAAATCCTAAATCATTATTCATTGTTTTACCATATCTTTTATTTCGATAGAATCACCAATCTCGTCCACAACGAACCTACTACATCAATGGATAAATTGAACCGTGAAATGTTAGCCAAACTGAAATTGATATATATTATATATTTACATTTATATAAAATAAATCAATATATTTACAAATAAATGAAAAATTGTTGCTGTATAAAATCAAATCTATGCATTGCAATTTTTTCATCATCTCCAAAAATAACCAAAGTCATCCATATATTAAGTATACAACATCTAACCGTATGCCATTACATAAACAAATAATCGTTAAGTATCCTAAATAAATACAATGTAACTAATAATTACAAATATAAATCTAAACATAAGATTTTAAAATTACTTGGACATTGATGACCTAAAACTAACACAAAATTACTCACACAAAATTCGCTTGATGGGGTTTTGTATTGATAGGAAATTTTATTTGTCGTATGATGTATTAGATTTGCATGTAAAAAAAATTTAGTAAATAAAACATAAACATATAATCGTTGAGTATCCCAAATTAATACAATGTAAGTAATAATTAGAAATACTAATTTAAACATAGGATTTTAAAAATTAAGCTAAAAATTACCCGGCCATTGATGACAAAAAATTAACACAAAATTCGCTTGATGGGGTTTTTTTATTGATACGAAATTTTGTTTGTGTCGTATGATGTGTCAATTTATAATGGTAGGTATCACAAATTTTAATTTATTTATAGTTAACGAACAATTTGTATTTCTTATCATAAATACTATCAAAATTTATATTATAGTGATAGGTATCAAACTTTATTATAAGCGTTTATCATTTAAATATTTTTTAGTATATTTTTTTTTTTGGATTTCTTATACTCGTAGTATTGAATTAAAAAATTTATTTTTTCCTATACTTTTACTTTATTTTTTTCATTAAAATAATTTAATTCATGAATTATAATCTACGTGGCATTAAAATTTTAGATATATCAAATCTAATTCGTTAATTTTATCTAGGTGGCGACATAATTTTTTAATTCAAAAATAAAATACAAATCTTTCTTTTTAATGGTCAAAATAAGTATATTTCTCACGTGGCGCTCTGAATGCTCTCCAAAAATGTCTACTTTATTTATATAATAATAATATATTAGATTTATTTTAGAAATATAAATATCATTCTAAATTTCAATTCACAACAAATTATCTTGTTTGATATCTATATGTACTTAAATGCATGATAAATAGAAAGGTAAAGCTCCAATATGTATGAGCTTTTAGGCTGGTCACATGAAAACAATATCCAAAACAGAATGAAACAGATCGAACATACCTTTGAATTTCCTTTTGGGCGTCATGAATGTACTTGCATTGCATGTGCTTAACTTCATATGGGAGCACATGCATCCACTCTCAACTATTAACTGGGCCCTAGCACTACCTGCAATTATAAGCTTTACCTTCGATCTTCGTTTGCCTAAATGTTATTTAAGGACCATTATTGAAATGATAATCACCTTCTAATCTTGCCAAGATACAATTGAGGAGTAAATATTTTTATTTATGGATTTTACTTAGAGGTGATCATTGGGCGTGTCGGGCCGGGTTCGGGCCAGGCCGAAGCTAAAAAAAATTGTGCCCATTTCTCGGGTCGGATTTTTTGTGCCCAAACCCGCCCAAAATGGTCGGGCCGTGCAGGCTTTTTGGACCGAGCCTAACAAATCAACTAAATATGCATAAAAACGCATTCCCAAATCCGCTAAAAAAAAAAACGGGCCGGGCCGGGTCCAACCCGATTTCGGGCCGAAAAATTCTGCCCAAAATCGGGTCGAGCCATACTTGATCAGCTCTAATTTTACTTACCTACATACAACTTACAAGCTGTTAACATGATTGTTTTAACTTTTAAATATTTAGACAATAATAGATATTTTGTAATAGGCTCTATTCCTTTAAGCTAAATTGAACTGAATTTAAATAAAGTTGAACTGATCTGAGAATAGGAACTTAATCTTCTACTGATTTATACAGAGTATGTAATTGTGTTGTGGAGAATTATAAATTTAGTTGAGCTGAATTGAACACATCCGAGAATAAGTCAAAAGAACAAGACCTTAATTAATCTTCTATATATTGATTTATACAGAGTATATAATTGTCTTGTGGAGAATTTTGGTGGCACAACTAGCTCTCCCAAGTATTATTGTCTAAAAAAAAAAGTGATTAACACTATATTACATTCTTCGTCTCTAATTAATTTGCTTTAATAGTTAAACTCTCCTCCTCCTTGTTCAGGTTGCCCAAACTCATTTCATATTGTCTCGGACTTTAACATGGTATCAGAGCCCAAGCCTGTTGAGCCGTTCATTACTGGGCATTTGTCAAGCCGCTGGTTAAGGGGCCTCTATTGGATGTTCATTCCCAATAAGGATTATATTGTACCTTCTGATGTGTTCTAAATTCTTAGGACACTCACAAGTGAGTGGGGTGTTGAAACCCATTGTAGCTCACTTGTGAGTGTCCCACATTGTTGAAAGAGGAGAGATGGTTCCATTTTATGAGGTTGAGGAGTTACTCCTACTATTGCCAATGAGTTTTAGTATGGAAAGCTCCTAAGCCTTGTTTGTGGACCAAACTCTCCCCCTCCTTGTTCGGGTTGCCCAGGCTCATTTCATATTGTCTCGAAATATAACAGTTAATACAATCTATCTCATCTTCAATTAAGTATATATAAAATGAACAGTCTCTTATCTCCAATCATAAACTGATTA